AACTGTCAGCTACGACGCCGGGGTACCAGCGGGCGCAGGTGTAGGGTATCCTCGTGGGCACGAGCAGAGGATACGCAGAGCAGCACTGGTGGAGCTGGATCGCGTCGTAACGTCAATCGCTATCGAGGGCACACCTCAGAATGACACCGGCGTCCCAAACTGTGCCATTGTTTATTTGTTTGTTTCTTTAACGCGCGCGAAGCTCGGTGAGGTCTCTAAATATAAAACTGTGTGCATTTACAAAAGCATACACACACCAACTGCTTTATTCAGTTCACTTCATTTACAAATTGGAGCAAATTCGCCATGGGGGCGACATTCTTATCCCTGGGCGGCTTTTAACAAAAGACCGCCGCATACTGGCACATTCGCAGCAAGTTCCTGGGACTTTTGCCAAGGCATGCAGCACACGTCACACAGCCCCCCAGAGTCCGGCGAATCCGCACTGTGCTACCCGCGACCGAGCGCCGCTCGTCCAACGCCCGAGACGGCACAGTCGGAAGCCGAGGGCCGGAGACAGCAGTTAAAAGCCAGGGGCGCAGTCAGCGCAGGAAAAGCCGACAGCGCGGTCGGAAGCCAAGGCACGACCCAGCGGGATGACCAATCACGCCAAACAGATCACGCCAACCACCGGGAATGCACAATCGGACGGTGGTCGACGCGATGCTCGAATAATCTCCTCGTATGTGGCGGTTGGCGCTCGTGCCCGGACGAGACATGAGCCACCGCGGACGGCGCCGCGGACGGATCGGCGGTCGGACGCCGGCGCGGGCGGGCGCCGCTGGGACAGTGTGGCGGGCGCGGCCGGGCGCCGCTGAGAGCGGTGTGGAGAGCACGGGTGGGCGCCGCTGGGACGGTGTGGCGGGCGCGGCCGGGCGCCGCTGAGAGCGGTGTGGAGAGCACGGGTGGGCGCCGCTGGGACGGTGTGGCGGGCGCCGCTGGGGGCGGTATGGCGAGCGCCCCTGGGGCGGTGTGGCGAGCACGGGCGGGCGCCGCTGGGGGCGGTGTGGCGAGCGCAGCCGGGCGCCGCTGGGACGGTGTGGCAAGCACGGCCGGGCGCCGCGCCCGCTGGGGTGGTGTGGCGGGGGCCGCTGGGAGCGGTGTGGCCGGCGAGAACACGCCGACGGCCGGGCCGGCTGAGAGCGGCCGCCAAGGTCAGCCGATGCAATCAAGACAGGTAAACGCCGCCGAAGGCTGCCGCACCGAGAGCGCCGGCCGCTCGTCTCAAAACTGACGGGGTGGGGCGCCGAGCCCCGACAATGAGCACCAGACCGGAGTAAAGACCGAACCCCGACAATGAGCAACGAACCGGGGTAAAGACCGAATCCCGACAATGAGCAACAAACCGGGGTAAAGACCGAACCTCGACAATGAGAAACAAACCGGGCTAAAGACCGAACCCCGACAATGAGCAACAAACCGGGGTGAAGACCGAGCGCCAACAATGAGCGACAAACTGGGATGAAGACCGAACCCCGACAGTGAGAAACAAACCGGGGTAAAGACAAAACCGCACGCCTGAGAGCTTACGTTTCCAGATCAGGCGCCTGCAAACGAACTATTTATCACTTGTGACCGGATCTAGTGCTGATATGTACAAAGGCCTGCCTTCATGCAAACCTGATGAGTAGCCTTTACAAGAGGCGCTACGGCCGGAGGCTGTCTGATGGCATCAAAACTAGACCTTTGCCACATGCACAAGAATATGCAGCACGCCAACAAGCATGTCTGACATTGTGGAAAAACGACCGACGTGAATATGCAACGTCATAGCCCATCAGTTATTCTAACCGCGGGCTGTCGGCGTCCACAAACACGCTGAAATGGATCTGTTGGTTGTTCGTATCCATGGCAACGCCACGTCCAGGGGCCATACAAACAGTCGTGGCCAAGTATCGTCCACCAAGGACCACAACCGCTGTTTACATAATGTCGGTCTCGGCCAAGCTGCCACGGCCGTTGCGACCTCGCAGCCAATACGCATCGAAAAGAACGACGGAACACGAACAGACAGCCTGGCTTTCCGAATCGAGGGGTGCACAGCGGGCCTAGAGTCCAGTCTCGATTGGAGATAGTCCAGTCCAGTCCAGTCCAGTCCAGTCCAGTCCAGTCCAGTCCAGTCCAGTCCAGTCCAGTCCAGTCCAGTCCAGTCCAGAAGCCGGACACGGGAGGAGCTCACCCTTGACCGGCGGCGTGGAACGAACCGCGCGAGGCCCAACCGCCGATACGCGGCGCGACCGAACACGAAAGCGGGCTTATCTCCGTTTGCAGGCTCAGTGAAACGATCCATCGGTTGCGCGTCGGAGCGCGACGTCCCGAGCGGCAGCCGGTGTACCGCCACCCCGAGCGGCGTCGGCGCACCCTGCGCGCAGGTGCCGCTGGTGGGAGAACGGAACCTCAGACAGCCGGGGCGCGACGTCCCGAGCGGCAGCCGGCGTACCGCCACCCTGCGCGCAGGTGCCGCTCGTGGGAGAACGAAACCTCAGGCAGCCGGGGCGCCGCGACCGAGTGTGACACGCTGTGTGTCGAAACGCCTGTGACGCGCACTGCCGGTGATGTCCCGCATCACGTGCGTGAGCCCGACAAGCGCCAGTGATTGAGTGGTGAGTATGTTTGAGAACGACGCGCGGGAATCCGTAGGCGCAGCACATCCACGCCGCGTTCCTCGCGGTGTCTGCTTTCTAAGTCCAGCAGTGGGCACGGAAAGAAAGCGCTCGTCGTTCGACGCAGACGGCAAATAAAGCACGGAAGAAAACGGGGACGTCACGAATCCCAGAGCGGACAGGCAGAAGAAACAAATTCCTCCAGGCGTCAAGCATCGCGCTGTACAGAAGTCTCGAGCGTGTCTCATCCCCACCTCCGTCGGCGCCGAATGCGTCCTCTGCCTGATTTGAAAAAAAAAACACTTTCTCGTCACGTACGAAAGCACGCGGCTTCGAGACAACGCTGATGGACCGTTTGAGCTCATCAGTCTCGCACGGTTCTCCGGTGCTGCGGCTGGGGCGGTCTCCTGTGGCGTCTGCCCAGCAGTCTGCCTAGCGGGGCAGAGTTTCTGGACGCTGATTCGAGGGAGATAACGCGGCGGATGCCGGCGCCCGCCGGACTCATCCATCCATTCATCTTTACTCCACCCCTCCGCTCTCAATTAACTTGGACAGATACGCGGTCCATTTGTCTTCCTTCCATAGTCCAATCCAATCAAGTATTTAATTTCGATTTCATAAGCGAACGTACCGTAACCGAGCAGAAGATATATCTATCTTGGAAATAGGTGAACATTCCTTCTTGCACTAGCTGTTCGGGACCATGCACTCAGCACGCGTGGTGTTTTTTTCAGCGTAAGCTCCCGTCGCTTTCCAAATAGCACATTGCCCAACACGCCACTAACAGCCTCAGCATGCTCCCATCCAGTGCAGCCCATTGTAATTGGACACAAAATAGTTCTGCAGCTTAGCCAGTGGGCTGGAACATCAAACCTCAATGACCACTGCCACAAAACGACCGAGACAAAGACGTTTGGCGAGAAAAACAAAGCTCGGCGTGCCGCGAAAAGCCCGCGACATCACCGTCCAACAACACACAACACGTGACTGAATGCGGCCATTAGACATGGGAGAATGGCCTGGGTCGGGCACGACCGGCTCCCCACGGAGGCTTCCCGCTGAGAAGGCCACGAGACCCGGATTTTGTCCGCCTCACCCCCCCCCCCCCCCCCCTCATCCACCGCGATGGTACGGCGCCGACCGTTCCAGTCCCCTCCTCACCGCGCCGCACCACTGTCACTGGTGCAGGTGGCGAGCATCAGAGCTACGGGATCACGAAGGTCGCGTGGCGGTGACGACCCAGCCCGACCGGGGCGGCCAGGGGCGGCGCATCACGGTGGAAGACGGGCGGCCGGCGTCATCACGACGCAGGCACATAACAGCACATCGGATGTCGACCTACGACACCGCATGGAACGACACGAAATTGAAGAAACAAAAACATCCCGTTCGCGGCCAACTGCAGAGACGCCGAGCCGTCCGGTTGGCCGTCCGGCGGCGGTCGTGGTGGCGCGCCACGAGGTGGCCGGGGAGCGCGCCGAGAAGTGGCCACCGCGTGACGTAACACCGTGGTGGCGGCGCGCCCAGTGTCACCGGCGCTGCAGCGGGGGGGGGGGGGGAGCAGGCGCCCCGCCGCCGCTCCCTCCGACGTACCCGGCGCACCGGAAGGTCGCGGAGGTGCGCCCGCAGGCGGCCGCGACCTGAGGTGACTGACCCCGGCAGCGTTCCGCTCTTGCCCGGCTGCCGACGCCGCGACCCGGGCGACAACACGAGATCGCCCCAGCGCCCCGCCGTCGCACCACATCACGTGTATCGATGCGTGCGTGCGTCCACTTGCCGCGACAAAGCTGTGCGCCTGACGAGGCCAACCCCGTCCACCGTGAGGAATCGGCCAGGCTCCCGGCGCCGGGGTCAGGCCGCGGGCGGGTCTCAGCCCCGGAAAGGCTTAGTAGGGTGCGGCTGGGGAGTCACTGAGTCATACCGCCTGGGCGGCCCGCGCCCACTCCAGCACGCTCAGCCTTTTCAGACACGTCAGCCATTGCGATACGGTGCAGAATGCTGTACGAGCAGCATACTGCGCATGCGCCGTCCCTCCTTCGGACGTGCCAACTTAAGCCTCGCGTTCCGTAGAGCAATACGGTAGTAGCACAGGGTGTTCGTCAGCTGTACGGATCGGATAGATCCAATACCTGACTTACATGCCGCCCTGCCCATGCTGCGAGCTGGAAGTCGTTTCATATTCATTCCGCTCGTATTCAGCCTGCTGACCTGGCGGTGGCGGGGCCGGACTTAACTCAGCTACTCGTAACTTACCTTCACATTTTACTGACTCGCCTGGCGTCTCGCTCTGCTCGTCCCGGTAGATCCGGTGGACCGGCGTCACACTCACCGACTGATCTCGAACGCCATGAGGCTCTTCTCGTCCCGGTAGACCCGGTGGACCGGCGTCACACTCACCCGACTAATCTCGAACGCCATGCGGCTCTGTTCGTCCTGGTAGATCTTGCGCGAGGCCCGCTTCTCAGTCGTCAGCACGTTGAGTTTGTCGATGACCCCCGTGGCCAGCGTCTCGGCGTTGGCGCGGATCAGCCGGCTCAGCGACTCGGTCTCGTCCATCATCGTCGACCAGGCCTGCCGGTCGCACGGGGGGGGGGGGGGGCTGGTAACGCGGCCGCGGTAACGGTCGGGCAGGCGGAGGGCACAGCGGTCGGTGGCGTTTAGCAGTCATGTATCAGCTACGATCGCTTGACAATCGATAGTTCTCATGCTGCCTGGCACCGACTGCACGCCTCGATTAAAAATCACCGGCGGCGAGATCGGGGCGGTGATTTTAGAATCTATTCTGGCGTTCCGAATCACTGGTCTACAACCATTTGGAGAACATCACTATAGTTTATTTATCATAATGGTCGAGGCAAATCGAGTCTTTAGTCTAGATGTACAGACAGAAAGTCGACCAATCGTGCCATAGTATCCGGTTGGGTAACGCATGGGTGCACGAGCGTGTGAAATCGCTGATAATAGATTGCGACACATTTCTGCGGACAAAACACCGCCACACGGTGCAGCAAAACTGCGAAAAACAAGCGGTTTGCATAACAAACGCAGCTACCGCAAAGCCTAACCGACCATCACGGAAGTCGCCGCACGGAAGCTTCCCACGCGCTGCCGCCTCTCCGACCCCAGCCGGCACCCCGCGGCCACTGACCTGAGCGATGAGGCTGCCCGCCATGTCCTCGGCGCGCTCCCACTTCTGCGCCTGCGCCACGACCTGCGTGAGGCCGGCGGCGTACTCGCGGTCGCACTTGACACGCAGCTGGAGGCAGCGTCGGATGGTGTCCATGAGGCGGAGCTCGCAGTCCTGGCGCGACAGCAGCGCCTCGTGGCTGGCGCGGCCCTGCAGAGCCGAGCTGAAGCCCATCCTCAGCCTGCCGCCGGGGGACGGCGCGTCAGCGGCGCGCGCGCGCTCACACACACACTGGCCGCGCTCGCGACCCAGGCACTGCTGCCGGCGGCGCGGAGCGAGCCCGAGCGGCACGGCGTCACACCGATGGCGCGCTGCCGGCGTCCCGCGCGGCGCTCCCACGGCCGCGGCGGCGCGGGTGAAAGTGAGCGCGCCGGCCAGCCGGTCACCTGCACGGCCGGCCGCGCGGCCCGCCCCCGACGCCGGCGCCGCCCCTCGCGCGCACGGGCCGGCCGCCGCGGCCGGTCGGTGAGTCAGCCGCCGCGCGGCGCCGCCGGCCGCCGCGCCCCGGCCGGTAAGCAGATGCGCCGCCCGGCACGCACCGTATCAACGCCAGCCGCACTCACCTGCTCCAGGCCGCGTCGATTAGTGATTCCAACCGCTCCATGGCGCGCGGCCGGGCGCCGGCGGCCGCGCCGGCGGCCAGGGCGAGCGAGCGCGCGGGTCCCGCAGCGCCGCGGCGCCTCGAACAATACCCCCTCGCACTCGCCGGCCGGCGGCTGACGCCGCGTTAACAAGCCCGTCGCTGTGCGGCCAGCTTCTCCCCGGAAAGGCGGCCCCCTCTGGAACGGGGCGCGAGCCATTGTCGACCGCCGCCGCCGGACAAAGCGGCGCCGGACGTGTGACCGGGTGCACGCCTCCGGCGGCCGCTACAAAGCCGCAGGACAGTTATGCGCCGGTCGGAGCGGGCGCCGACGGCCGGGCGGTGAATGACGGGCCGTGTGAGGCCGTGGACGGATGGGCCGATCATCGCGAGCGCGCGTTCCCACCCGGCGGCGGCCGCACCGGAACCGGCGCGCTCATCTAATCAAACAGCGGGCGATAATGGATGCGGCCAGCGCCGGATCGGTGCCAGCGGCGGTGGCGGCGCGGCCGTCAGACTTTGGGCGATGGGCGCCGCTGCCGACGACGAGTTTTCGGCCTGCGGGGGGCGGAACCTCGCTCGGCTGCCGGTCGGCGAGCGGTGCGCCTCTGATGACCGAGCCACGTTGTGCTATCAACGCACCGCGGCCTGACGGCAGGTCACCCTTCTGCTACGCGCGTGCCGTGGGCCTGGTGGCAGGGCTTCTCTGATATCTGCGAGCATAGCCGGCCTTCCGCTTTTGGCGAGAGGACAGTGTCACCGCAATGTCCCTCAGCAGCGGGTTGCTGGCGGCAGAATCCCGCCCTAACACCGGCCAACAGAGACACGGCAGACCCATGGGGGCAGACCCACGGACACAAACCCCCACTTGCGTTAACAGCGGGCCCGTGGAGCTCGACGGTGCTGCAGCAGCGGCCTCTGCCGGCCGGCGTTCGCTCCCTCGCCAGTAAACCGCGAACCAGACGGCACGACCGCCGCCGGCTTCGGCGGGCAGCGGCCCAACGGCGACGCCAATAATAAAGGCACGCCGTCGGTATGGCAGCCAGCTCGGCGCGCCGCGCCCCGCGGCCCGCCCGAGCTGGCTCTCCGACAGAAGGCGGGCGGGCGGCGCCGATTTCTGAATGGACCCAGAGGCAGCGCGCACTTCCGACGCCTACTAAAATTAGCGGCAGCGCCGCGCCAGCCGCTCGGATACGGGCGGAAGCCGACGAGTCGCCGCCCGGACGCCACGCGGGTCCAAAAAGCCGACCCCCTACCGACGCCGGCCTCGCATACGGCACGACAGCGGCGCAAGGTCCACAAGCGCCGGCTCCGCCAAAACAAACGGCGGGGCCATTAAGCTAGGGCGTCATCGCGAATCGCAGTGCGAGCGCCGATATGAATGGCATAAGCACGTCACGCCCGAGCTAGACAAGCGCCGCACGGGACGCCAATGACCTATCAATCGCACAAAGAACGCAAGCAGCAACGCAAGGGCCCCAAGAGGGGCCACGATCGACGGATCAGGGGCTGAGGGACCGCCGGGCGGACGGCGGGACGACGGCGGCCCGGGTCTGCCCTCCGCGGAGCTGAGACGGCTGCGCGGCGACGGGCACCGCACGCGCGCACAGACCGCGCACTCGAGCCGCACTGACAGCCGGGGGCGCGCCCTCGAGGCCACGCCGGCGCCAATTGTGCCGAATCAAGCCAATTGCGGCGGTTTGCAGGGCGTTATTTTTGGCCGACGGCCGGCGATGCGGCTCCTCGACGTCACGGTCAGGTGCGGCACGTGACGGCGGCCACCGGCGCGGCACGCAGCGCGTCCGGCCGCGCGGCGGCGGCGGCGGCGGCGCCCCTCCCACCGTCGCGGTCACGTGCGGTGACCTCTGCTCGGCGCGGCGCGTCCCCCCCCCCCCCCCCCCAGCAGTGGAAGCGATGGGACGGACAGGGACCGGAGCGGTGACCCGACGCGTGGGCGGACCGCCAGCAGCTGGGCGCGCCGACCCAGGCCGGCGCCCGCGGGCAGCGTCTGCAGCGAGCGCCGTCACACTCGGGTGCGTGCCGAACGGAGGACGTAGCGGATCGTTTGGTCCTTTCACGGCTCATTCAGCTGGCGGCTGCACGCTTCCGAGTGAATTCCGGCACCCGGCGGCCCGTTGGTTCCGACATTCCGCTGCTGGCGGCTTCCATGAAGACAGACTTGTCGTGACAGGAAACCGCGCGGGCGTAATGGAATGCACGCTTGCGGAGACTCGCTGAGAAACAGCCAGCGACGTTGTGTACAACACTTACGGAGAGAGAAAGGCCACGAAAACACCTGTGTGCTTTTCCAGCCAAAAATTGTCATGCCCCACCGACCACACTGTTCTTTGCTTATGCTCGCATGTCCGGCGCGGTCAAGTGGTCCGCCAACTCCACCTTCGTTCTCTCACAGCTCGCGGGGAAGCCAATGAAGCCTGGCCCCTCCACGCGCAAAAAAATCGACCCACGCACGGAACTAGGCACTGGCACCAACGCCAGCCCACCCAGCTCGCTGGTTTGGCAGAGCTGGGAGGGTGGGCGGTTGCATCTGCGATCAGATCACGCACACGCCTCTCCTCAAAATGGACCCCGCTGCGGCTTGGCACATACTGACACCGACTGGCTAACAACACACGACAGCCCGTGCATCCCTATGAATCAGCGCACCACTCAGCCCCTCCCCCCCCCCCCTTCACAGGGACGGCCGCAGTTGGTTGCCATCCCCGTTTCCGGCGGTGGGCATCCACACCAGGCGGGTAATTGGTGCTTTCGATGACGTCGAAGACGACAAACCGAGCAAACGGCAACTACATCGGTAGTCGAACACCCGGATCGGCCAGCTGGCCCACATAGAGTGGATTTCGCTGACACGCCCCCCACCACGCCAGCCAGCCGGCACCATCGACTGGAGGCAGCCCCGTCCGCCGTCGGATGAAACACACTGCGGCGGCGCCGCAGACCGCACCGGCCGGCCGCCCGACAACAGGCCCGGAGGGGTCGGGCCGGGCCGGGCCGAGTCGGGCGGGATCTGGCACGGCCGGCCGGAGGCGTCGCGGCCGGCTCGCGTGAAACGTGGGCGTGTCACGTCAACGGTAAGCCCCGGGCTCCGTGACAGGCCCACGGCCGTGGCGAGCTCGTGCAAGCTTAGTTCACACGCGGCGCTAGGATTGACACAGTCGTGAGCCGGGCGTTACTTGAAACGGGATACGAACATTACCGGGGTCAATGGTCACATGCTGACACCGGTACCCTTCACAACGCGCGTACATAGATCCGTACTTGTCGGCGAAATGCAAGAAAGACGGCAAAGCTAGTTTGTCCCGGCGAGATCCTGTTCGGGATCGGACCACCGACGCATTCATGGAGAAATTTCAGCCAACCAGCTCTCCATTTGGGGCCGTCCAGTGACTGGCTCGCACATCCATACGGAGGATGCGATGGGCAGGAACATGCGCGCTGAGTCCGACGCTCCTCATGAATCGGAAGCCAGCTGGGCGAGCTGCCCCTCCGCACAAGACCAGCGCCGGGGCCGGATGGACCGCCGCACACCAGGCGGCGCTCCGGCTGGCGTGTCGGCGCCGAGCCGCGGCAGCTCATCGGCCACAGCCGTCAGCGAGCCGCTGCTTCTCGGAGCGGGCGCCCGCGCTCGACACGCGTATGTGCGGCAGACAGACCTGTCAGCGACTCGACGCGCGGTTGTCTGACAGACAGACCTGTCAGCGACTCGACGCGCGGTAGTCTGGCAGATAGACTTGTCAGCGACTCGACGCGCGGTAGTCTGGCAGACAGACTTGTCAGCGACTCGGAGCGCGGTTGTCTGGCAGACAGACCTGTCGGCGACTCGAAGCGCGGTTGTCCGGCAGACAGACCTGTCAGCGACTCGAAGCGCGGTTGTCCGGCAGACAGCTTCACCAGCGACACGCCGCACGACGGCCGGGCAGACCGGCGCACTCTGGTCAGCGCCCAGCCGCCGGCAACACAGCCACACCTCAGACCGGGCCCGCACCGTGTGCCGCTGCCAGCGGGCCCCAGCGAGGCAGCTCTGCCGAACGCCGCCGACTGTGCCGCGCCGGAGGTGCCGGCAGGACGGCTGTTGGGCCGGCTCCAGCCGACGCCGGGCCGCCGGCCGGACCGGGACCGTTTTAGCCCGCGGACCACACCCACCCCCGCGCTGGCACCGCGTCCGCCGGAGGCCGGGCGTGGCCACGCGGTGCCCCACCACGCATGCGGCCAACTCGGTGACGGAAAACGGGCAAGCCGTCTTGTTGTCCGTCCCAAACACCAACGAAAATAGATGTGGGAGGGAGACTGGGGACCTTTCATTGGAGGTCCTCGTCGCAGCATCAAAGTTTACAGAGGGCATAACTTTGCATGATAAAATTAGCTGTACAATAACAAAATCCAGCTCTTGGGCTTCATTTAAATGTTATGGCAGATTAAATAGATGTGATGCATTGCCAGGAAGGAACCAGAGCACTTTACATCCTGATAATGCAAGGTGACAATGCCAGTAATGGGCGTCATTGCATATGGTTCCCTGACCTACATTGCAAAGCTACCTGCGTTTCAAAGAATGACACCAATTTTCACTGATGATGGCCTCCAGCCACAAAACATACTTATGATGTTGATGACTGAGGCAGAAGGATAAGGACATGTCGATGGCGGCGGTCATTTTGCGCCCATCAGGACAGACTCATGCACAATAAAACATATATAAGTGGCTGTTGATCCACTATTAGGCAATTTTCATTTGCATTTGTATGTTGAATTACATTCACAGCTTTTGGATGCAATGCTGAAAAAGATGCAAGGTCAGGTAGATGGATGAAGAGGCTGCATCATCTCCCAATGATCCAATATTTTGCTCTGGCTCAGTGTTTAACACGCATTCACGCCTACTGCAAGTGTACAAGGATCCAGTAAAGCCATAATGTTAAACATGTTTTCAAGTATGCTGATGCTTACATGACAATCACTTCACACCTAGGGTTTACATGTGTTTGGACATCATCTTGAGTCAAATACCCTACATTTCTGACAATTTGCATAATATCCAA